TTCTATTGGGTTGAGAGAATTCCCAGTTCTCAGAAAAATCCTCCCAGTCTTAGGCTGGAGATGAAAACTATCTGTTCCCAGGCTCAGCTGGGATAAGGAGGGACAGGGAAGGGTGTTCTGTATCCAGCTGAAACCTCTACTCGGTCCCACAGCTTTCAGCCTCCAACTGCTCAGTTTCACCTAGACTTGATAGCTGCTGTCCAGGATAAAACCCTCTCCTTTCCTGTGACAAAGGTCTTCTGTCTTGGTGGCTTATGTGTTCTAATGTCTTTTACTGTTGCACTTGGTAGGATCCCGAGAGAGGGCACTTGTTTCCAAACATCGGCCACATCAATAGCCAGCTGTGCTTTCATAACCCAGAAGCTGCAGTTCATCCATTCACTTGGACTGCTTACTTACTATGTGCCAGGAGCTGCAGTAAAGACATAGACCAGGGCTGCAGGGAGCACAAAGCCTGTCTGGGTGCAGCCAGATAACCAGGCCAGAACTGTCAGGTGAGGTGATGCTACTGTCAGTGGAATGCAGCTCTTAGATTCCCGTAGGCCTCCCCATCATCCGGGGAACACATTTATTCCACAAACATGTCCTAGGCACCCACATCATGCCAAGGGTTATGCTGAATGCTGGCTACATGGATAAGATGAATACACACAGAAACACCTAAAGCTTCTCCATGTGACAGCAGGGTTTGTTATATCTTGGCAGATTATTTTGTGCTTTAGTTGAACCTCATTCATGGACACCCAGTTGCCACAGGACCATTTATTTAAAAGACTTTTCTTTACCCTGCTGGATTGTTTTTGGTACTAGCGTTGGGCATTCTTTGGCTGCTCTGATGGTTACTACTGTGAACTTGACAGGGTCATCTAGGAGGCAAGCCTTTGGAAATGTCTGTGAGGGATTTTCTAGACTGCTCTTTGAGGTGAGAAGGCTCACCCCAAATGTGAGCAGCACCGGTTCTATAGGCTGGGGCTTCCACCTGAACAAAAAGGAATCTCCCGACTGACACAGTGAAGGTAGGCGCCTTTCCATTTACTTAGCTCTTCATCACTGTTTTTCAAAACGTTGCTGGGTTTTCAGAAGACAAGTTGAGTCTCTCTCAGTCAGGCTGTGTCTAAGTACTTCATTATTTTTGTTCTTTTTGATGTTGTCCTAACAGCCCACGTTAGTACTTAAACTTCCTTTAGTCCTGCTGAAATCAAGATTTACCTTATAATCAAGGCCACCTTAGCATTACATCATAGCCCAATTGGTAGCATGTTGTAAAATCTTATAATCAATGGCTCCATAGAGTCAATACAGTCTGACACCAATGTGAAATGCCTCTGAAACATGAAGGCAGAGGTGGGCAATGGGCATCTGGAAATGTCAGTGCGGACAGGAAGCTGGAACCAGGGCTGGAAATGCAGGGGTCATCTGAAGCGTGACATCTGGAACCACAAAAGTGAATGAGGCTCCTTCAAGGATGGAAAGCTCAGGAGAGGACAGGAGGGTCTGGGTGGCAGTCTCAAAGAATCTCAAGCAGACACTGTGCCGGTAAAGAGGAGGCAGCAAAGGAGACATTTCTCAGCTTACAGCTGCCATTACTCAGTACTATCACCTCCAGGGAAAGCTCCACAGAAATGGGAGCCTCTCTGTGGATTTGTTCTGGGTTGTTGGAGGTGGTGGTAGTGTTTTGTTTTGTTTTTTGAGACAAGATCTGACTTGGAGCTCAGGCTGTACTTGAACTCACTACAGCCTCTCATTCGTGGCTATCCTCCTGCTTTGTTGTCCTGGGTACTGGACGACTTACGGGTGTGAGCTTCCATGCCTAGCCTGAACCATGGCACTTTTCTTCTTTTTCTTTTTTTACATTCCAATTCCAATTCCCTCTCCCTCCTCCTGTCTGCTCCTCGGAGAGGGTAAGGCCTCCTCTAAGAAGTCTACTAAGTCTGTCCCATCAACTAGTTGTGGCAGGACGAAGGCACCTCTCCACCCCCACACCCATGTCTAGGCGGGGCATGGTATCTCTCCACACAGAATGGGCTCCACTAAGTCAGTTTGTGCATTAGTGTTAGATCCTGGACCCACTGCCAGTGGCCTCAGATACTGTCCCAGTCACACCATTGTCACCTACGTTAAGGGAGTCTAGTTCAGTCTCGTGCAGGTTCCCCATTTGTCAGACCTGAGTCAGTGATCTCTCACTAGCATCTGACTCCAGAGTCTCTTTTGTTTTCTAATAAACCCTGTTGCCACTTTATTAATTAAGGTATCGTTTTAGCCACCACAGAGAAACTGAAAAACTCTCTCAAATAATCTATGTATTGCGCACTGCTAAGCTGGTGGTTATTCACCACTTGCTTCACCCTAGGGTTCCCAACAAACATCCCAACAGACCGATACACCTCCTCCATCTCCAGAGAGGCATCTTCACTCCATTGTGGATGTGGATAGAAACTCAGCAAGTTCTTACTGCATAGTATCTTAGAGAAACTGTCTATAAGCAGAAAAGAAAAATGTTACCAGAAGTACCATAGTTTTCCAAATTAAAACTAGAAATGTGTACAGAAATCCAAAGGAGCTCACATCTACTGCTGTCACATTCCTGTAATCGAAGCAAGACACCAGCTGGTAGCAAAGCAAAGGCACCGCCCTTCACCAACTGCCGCCACACACATGCTCCATCTTATCCATTTCCAGACCTTTTCCTTTATATTTCAAACTCCCTAGTCATCACACACAATTACCATTATACCATAGTCTCTAGGCAATGGTGCTTAGACAAGGAAATAAAGGCGACTCCTTCAAAGATGAAAGCAGAGAGAAGGACAAGAGGGTCTGGGTGGAAATCTCAGAAAACCATTGTGCAGATAAAGAGGAGGCAACAAAGGAAATGCTTTCAAGTTTACTGCTGTAAATTCTGATTCTGCAGGGATATCTGTAAATGTCTCTAAACATTTCTTTCCTTTTTCTCCCTCAAGATTGGGTTTCTCTGTGTTACAGCCCTGGCTGTTCTGGAACTCGATTTATAGATCAGGCTGGCCTGGAACTCAAGAGATGGTCCTGCCTCTGCTTCCTGAGTGCTGGGATTAAAGTCATGGGCCACTACACCCTGCTTCTTTTTTAGATGCTACAACTGAAAATGGGGGTACTGATGGCATCAGGCAGGGCTATCACTGGACACCTAGCAATTCCTTAGACACACCCTGACTAATAAAGCACGGTCCTGAAATACTCTACCTATAGCTTTTATCACATTCTCAAATGATATATGAATCAAAGAAAAAAAAAAAAAAAGAATCAAGTAACACTGGCATTTATGACTATTCCCCCTAATTCATGGGAGAAAAGAACAACACGCCAATTCTATTTCACAATTGAAATCATCAGACCCAGCTCATCTGTGCCCCCACAGACTTCATGGTCCCTTTCCACTGTCCATTGCCATCAACGGCTAGACAAACAGTTCTTTGAATTTCCCTAGAGACTTCAAGTATCTCCTTCCACAAGACAGGTTAATGTAATTATAAACGTGATAACTATTAAGATATGAATGTCATGGGGGTGGACTAGAGAAATGGCCAGCAGTTAAGAGCACTAGCTGTTCCTCCAGAGGTCCTCTGTAAAGAGATCTGGTATGCAGGTCACTCATATACATAAAATAAGTATTTTTTTTAAAAAGGGTATTAACGTTGTAGCTTCATGCTATGTATTTCAAATCCCATTCTCTTAGACATATTCTGCTCAATAATCATTTTTCAGCACATGGCTGAGCGCTGGCAATCAGTAATAAAACTGAGTTTATAGCTTACCATCAGCAATAGTAACAAAACTTAAGACATATAACTAAATTGTAACAAAGGCACACGAGTGTAAGGCCCGAAAGAGTAAAAGATAAGCACACTTCAATCATTGTCCAGCTACACTGCACTTAATATTGTATCCCACCCACATGCAGTATGGAGCAAGCTATCTTATTTCTAGCTAGTTTAAACAATCCTTCAACAAAGCTATCACAGTCCAGGTAAATTAGACTATTCCTTGGGAACTGCCAAACAAATTTGAGATTCAGGCTGGGCGTGGTGACAGTCAAGTAGCTCCTGTGAAGGCGGAAGAATCAGAGTTCTATCTAGGACAGCCTGGACTACACAGCCATTTTTTTTTTTTTCTTAAGGCCACAAATACAGTGTATCTAATTAGATCTAATTGGGAAGCAGCATATTGGAGGTAAGGAGGGTAACGGCAGATATTTACATCTTTTCTAAACATCAGTAGAAACATTCTCATCGTTACAACTGCAATCGCTCTTAATCGGGTATTTGGAGCTTACTACGTGGTCTCAATCACGTGATGGCAGGGAGTGTGACCTTTTACTCTTTTTTTTTTTTAATCCCCAATTATCAGCAATCCAGTAGCCAACCTCAGCAGGCCAAGCGGGCCCGGGGGCACTGAACAACCAGATGATGAGGCTCAAGTCTCCAACTCAGTGAAAAGCCCCGGGCGGGTCAAAGGCACGGAACCGGTGAGAGAACAATGGCTGCAAGCCTGACAAGGGGGTCACGGCCGAGCGGCGGCCACGCGGAGGCCCTGGCGTCTCCCTGGCCGGCGCCGCTAGCGCCTCATCGGGCGCCCGGCCGGCCAGGGAAGCACGAAGGCGGCGGCGGCGGCGGCGGGTGAGCAGGCAGGCGAACGAGCGAGGCATCTACAGCTAGCCGCCGGGCCGACCAGCGCCCGCAGGCCCGAGGTCACGCACCTGCGCTGCGGGCGGGCAGGAAGCCGGGAGCAGGGCGCTGGCCCTGCAGTTCCCGTCCTAGGCCCCGCCCCTCCGCGCTTATGTAACAGCGGAGAGCTGCCATTGGCCCGCACGACCGGAAAGGCGCGGGCGTGCGAGAGGGGCGGGGCGGAGCGGCGGCAGGAAGGCGAGGGCGGGGCCCCGCGGGCGGGCGGGCGGGCCGGCGGCGCTGAGGCGGCTGGGAGTGCGGCGCGGCGCGGCGTGCGCGCGCACGAGCAGACGGGCCTGCCTCGGGCTCAGGCGCGGCGGGCGCGCGCTGCGGCGGGTGTGCGTGCGAGGCGCGGGCTGTTGTGCTCCCGGCTCTGCTCGGTCCGTCCTCGGCGGGTGGCGGAGGCCCCAAGCGGTGCGGGGCGCGTCCCTTCCTTCCCTGCTCGTCCTGCCCGGCTCCTTCTCGCGCTGCGCGGTCTCTCGGACGCCAGACCGGCTCCGGCCCGGGTGAGCGACGCCGCGGGACGCGGGCGGGAGCCGGGGTGGGAGGCACGCGGCGGCGGGAGGCCGGGCCGGGCGGCGGGCTCCGTGCGGAGCAGGCGCGGGGCTGCGGGCCGCCGAGGCCTCGGGCGGGCTCGGCTGCAGCTGCGGGGTGGAGTGGGTCGCGATCGGGTGCTCAAAGCCGGGGTCGGGCTGCGGAGCCGGCCGGGGCCTCTTCCTCGGGCTAGTTGCAGAGTGCGAGCCCATTTCCTGGCTCCCCAGCCTCAGAGTAAGTTGTTTGGCTTTAAGAGGCCCCCTCAGGGCCGGGCTTTACTTTTTGCCTCCTTCTCAAGAGCTGTTGTTTTCCAAGAACTCTTTCCTGGTTCTTAGCTCCTTTGCAGCCTCCGGGGGGAATTAAAAGTTTCATTTAAAAAAATCAGCGGGTAACTGTCTGCAAACGATTAATCGCCTTTCAATTGGTCGCACTTAATCAGGGAGCGGTTTATTCGTAGGGTTTTGTCGAAAACTCGAGGGGCTGGTCAAGAGCAAGTCGTAAGTTGAGCTGTCCGAAAGCAGGTGGTTGCTTCGCTTGCACTTGTGCTTTCAGAAAGGAAACCCGTGCCAGTGTGCTGTCAGAAGTTAGGGGCCTGCCCCACGCAGCCTACCTGGTGGAGCAGATTTCCTTTGCCTGGCAGATAGATACGTTTTGTCTTAAAGAACAAATGGTCACATGCCATTTTGTTACTGTTGTTAGGCGGTAAAGAAAATGGGTTAAGTCTTACCTGTTCTGTCGTGTTTTAGGAGGAAGCCCTAAATTCAAAAGTTAAAAAATAGTTTTTGCTTATCTGATGACGTTGTTTTTAAATGTACAGTACATGAAAAGGTTACCAAAATAGCTGTTTTAACTTCTGGGTTGCCTGGAAAGTCCTGGAATCAATGATGTGCTGTTTTGTAACTTAATAGAGCAAGCATTAAAATTCTTAAGGACTGTCCCTCAAAGTAATGTCTTTGCATACCTAACCATATTGTATGGGAGGATTAAGAAGTGTGAGATAACCAGATGTTTTAGCAAGGGTCTGATACTAAGACAGAAGGACATTAAGAATGTTTTCAAAGTGTTGTGTACATAGATTGAAGACCCACCATCAAAATGTACTTCTAAATATGCAATGGGTGTAATGGCACACTCCTTTAATCTCAGCACTTGGGAGGCAGAGAGAGTCAGGTAGATCTCTTGAGTTTGAGGCCAGCCTGGTCTACAGAGTCCCAAGACAGCCAGGACTACACAGAGAAACCCTGTCTCAAAAAAACTAAACAGAACAACCCGCCCCCCCCCCAATGCCATTGGACTTAGAATTGATAACAGATTGGTTTAAAACACAAAAATGAAGTGTAATCTGTATGATAAACAGCTGCTTTTTGGCTTGATGGAAATGGAGTTCTTCTATTAGGCTAGCATATGAAACATTCTTGGAGTTGATGAAAGACTGGACAGGCTTTATAGGAAAGCATTAATTTTCCTGTCTATTTTATCAGACTTTCAGTTCGTTGTGTAACACTAGTGGGAATGTGTCCAGTAAGTGTACATTCGTCCAGTTTCCATTGGGGGCAGGGAGGTTGGGTGGAGAGCTCGACTGTTGTGTGAAACACTTTATAGACTTTATATCCAGTAACTAATGAGGGTTCCAGTCAGAAAGGGCCAGCCCTCTTCTAGTAAGGTCCTTGTATGTTCATGTTTTTCAGTGATTTCAAAGTTTAAAATGTAATTACAGTGCTCTTCAAAATGACATAGAATCTAACTTTCATAAGTTTCAAAAGCACTCATCTCCTAGTTCTTGTGTGAACAGGTTTACTTTGTGCTGCCTAACTAGCAGTCTGGTTTTCACAGGACTCTCGAAGGTTACAATTTGTTTTAACGCATTTTTGTTCACTCAGGCTGTCAGTAGCAAAGAGTAGGAAGACATTTTCACCTTTGTAAAAGGTACCTTTATACTAGGGGGCTAATTTGTCTTTGTAATTTGTGTGGCTGGGCCTGCCAGGTGGCTGAGCAGATGAAGGTGCTTTCTGTCGAGCCTTGAGGGTCTGCGTTGGAATCCGGAAGTTGTCCACTGACCTCTCCAAATGCTCCATGCTCCTGTTTTTCTGCACGCACACAAATAAGTGCGCTGGTTGGTGTTTCCTCGTGGGAAAGAACTCTTAAAGGAACATTTGATAGCATACTAGTTTAATGAAATCTAAGGACTGAAAGGAACAATTGCTGTGTCCCTGTGACCTCTTAGAGGATTAGCTGGTGGCACTTAAAAAAAAAGTTGTACAGTTGTAAGACATAATGGATGCTTAGTAGGGAGATTAACTTTGTCACTTGATTACCTTTATAATCAAATATTGAAGGAAGACGAAACTTTGGAGCACTACATCCAGTAAAGTGAAGGGAAAAAAAAAAAAATAAAAAACCAACTTAGGTGTGTATACAGCTCAATAAACTTGGAGTTTTTTGGGGGTGGGATATGGTCTTCCTCTGTAGGCCAGGTTGGCCAGAGCATGAAGCCTTCCTCCCTCTGCCTCCAAGTGCTGAGACAGGGCCTTTGCTCTTCCTTTCCCAGCCCTGATGATTGAATTTTTAGAAACAAGTGTACATACCTTATAATCATTACCTGCTTTAAGGTAGAAAACATTTCCAGCACCCACCGAATGCCTCTCCTGTCATCTCTCTCCAGTCATTACTCCATAAATAGCAAAGTGACCTCTTTAGCTGTGACTATCTGTTTTGAAGTTTTGTGCAATGTGGTTTCTTTCTAACTGCCCTCTTCCCTTGACATTGAGATACAAACTTTGTAGAAAGAGTTTCTTTGGTTTGTTTTTTGAGGCAGAGTCTCATTTTGTAGCCCTGGCTGGCCTGGAACTTTCTGTGTAGACCATACTCACTAACCTCAGATTCACAAGCGATCCACCTACCTCTGCACCTGAGTGCCTGGATTAAAGTGTGTGCCACCAGGTCTGGCCAGAAGTGACTATTTTTAATGATGTCTGACATTTCTCTGTGTGTAATCTGTTTTTTACAACTGATTGATTTTTGAGCTAGAATCTCTAGTTTTAGAACAGGCACTATGAACATCTTGGTATACATAACATTTGATTCTGTTGAACATGTACCAGGAGAGGAATACTAGGTCACAGTGTACCCAACTACCAACCAGATTTCTGTGGTAGCTTTGTACTTTGGTAATCTAGCAGCATTGTATGGGAGTTTAAAATTCCATTCATATGGCTTGCTGAACACATCTCTATAAAATTTAAGTCAATACTAGAGATGGCTCGTCAGTTAAGAGCACTGGCTGCTTTTCCAGAGGAGCTGAGTTCAATTCCCAGCACCCATGTAGTGGCTCATTACTGCCTGTAACTCCAGGTTCAGGGGATCTGACACTTTCACACAGACATACATGCAGGAAAAACAGGAATGTTCATGAAATAAAAGTAATTTTAAAAAAATAGATAGTCAACTCTGAGATTACTGAAAGAAAACTACTAGAAAATGACTAAATACTTAAATTGCTCTGTTAGGATGAAGGACTCACTCCAATGCCCAACCTTTTGTTTTTAGATATGGCTCGTGGACAGCAGAAGATTCAGTCTCAGCAGAAAAATGCCAAAAAGCAGGCTGGACAAAAGAAGAAACAAGGACACGACCAAAAGGCTGCTGCCAAAGCTGCCTTAATATACACCTGCACAGTCTGTAGGGTAAGGCACCCCACAGCTGCTTCCTCATGGACAGTTCTTGTCCTACAAATATGGATAGCTCAACTCCCCCACCCACCCCACACAACAACATGGATGGTTTATTTGAACTCAGATTTGAGTGGTTTTCTTTTAGGAATCCACCTATGGTCAAACATCCGAGAAACATTTTCTGTGTGGTTCCCGTGGCTGTGCGTGCAGGAAAATGGTGGAGAAAACAAAGTTCTTTTCCTTGTGTAGAATAAAGGTGTTTTCATAGAGCTTATAATAAAACTTTGTTATAGCTTATAACTTTGGGTGTTGTAAAAAGTTCCCAACTGCATTCTTACGTGGATAAGGCTAAACTTTGTGTGGCGTTAATGAATATAATGCTGTTTGTATAGTTGTCTTTCCTCCATCTCCACCAGATCTACGGTTTGGGTACATGTACTGCCATGTGACTATTCACATTTTTAGGACTCTTTGTAGAACTGATGTGTTTAAAGAGTTGTTGGAATTCACTTGCCACGTGTAAGGATGGAGCCAGGTGTTTTACCTGTATTCTCACATACCTAATCCACACATGAATTGTATAGTTTGTGCATGTGATCCAGAGTAAGAAGAGATAGTACCTGAGTCTAGGCAGTCTCAATTTAAATTCTAGCCTCTGTCTGTCTGTGCAAGTTCATTACCCTTGAGGTTAACAGAGTGTTAGAGGGAAAAATAGCACAGTCGGGTTGGTCTGGTGTATAGACACAATGTTTTTAAACCCTGTACTTGAATAAGATTGATGGTGTGGATGGGAAGGGATCTTGCTAAGACATGATTGTTAGATTGAAGTTAATCATGTGTTGAAGTCTTTACAAATAGCAGTTCCTAACTACATGAAAGTTGTCATTTAGAGGGGGATCTGACAGTATCATGATGGTGTTGAACCTTGGTCATAATAATGAAATTGAGTGAAATTAAATGCTATTAGTTTAGTAAGAAAGACGTACCAGGCCCTTCCTTTAAAGGTATATTTTGTCAGATGTGGTGTGTGCATGAGTTAATGAGTATGTGCAGGTGCATACATGTACACATACATGTGGAGACATCGGGGTCATCCACTATCGCTCCCCACAGCTCTCTGAACCCACAGCTCACCAGTAGGCTAGACTGGCTGGCCCTCATGCTATGGGGATCTCCTTGTTTTGTTGCAGAGTTCTCATGTAATCATGCTTGACTTTTATGTGGATACCAAATCCAGATCCTCCTGTGTAACAGGCACTGTAAATGCTGAACCATGTCCCTAGCCCCTAAAAATACACTTCAAAAATCTTAAAAAACAAACTTTTAATTTATGTAGTAGAGTGTTAATAAATAAGTAAATACATGAAGGTGGTCATTAATGTGTTCTAGGAGAATCTAGAACTGAGTTGAAACATAGCTCTCAGGCGGACTATGCTCCCTATTAGATTCTCCAGCCTGTAAAACGAGCATGATTGTAGAAGTCAAAGACTACTGTCAAGGTTCTGTGAGAATTCAGATTGACTGCTTAATGAGTAGATGCCCTGTTTGCTGTAATGACATGAAATACTTTATGTGCTATTGCTCTTCATGTGTGAAATGTTAGGAATTTCTTTGTTGTAAGATACTTTTCATATGCTGGCTACAAGTAGGAAGTTAAAGGCATCTTGCAGTGCATGTTGCGCGTGCATTCTTTCTTGCATAAACTCTGGTTCTTGTTTTTCACCCACTTTGTAAATTAGACGCAGATGCCAGACCCGAAGACCTTCAAGCAGCACTTTGAGAGCAAGCACCCCAAGACTCCCCTCCCCCCAGAGCTGGCCGACGTGCAGGCATAGAGTGGTTTACAGGTAACTGATCTCTCTGCTGCTTTGTCGGCCTGGGTTTGTAATTTAGGAGCAAAACTGTATCTCCTCAGCTGTGGACTAGATCTCTGCCTCTAGCTGAGACTTCCTGACTTAACTTTAAAGTTTAACTTTTGCAACAGAGCTAAATAATAGTATTCAGTATAAATTGTAAAGTATTCTAGTAAAATAATTTATGATTGGTAAGAGCCCTTTCCCCAGGACCCTCTCAATTCATTCCTTTGAAACACTCGGGTTTTTACAACTATAGCCAAAGATAGAGGGAAAAGCCAGCTTTGATCCTGGAATGAGAGACTTGTCAGCTCTAAGAGAGTAGTCACTTCAAAGGCACAAGGGTCTTCTCCCAGAAATCCAGAGCAATTTACTGAGTACATTTTTATGTCTCTTTTGCTTATTTATAGTGCTAGGCAGAGCTTCTCTGTATTAAAATAGAGAAAAAAAACTGTAGAAACTCCCAATTTAAGTTACCCATTTAACCTTCATGTGTGGTTGGGTTTATTGCCTGGCTATGTAGTGGTACATATGTATGTGTGTTTGGGAATGATTTCTATCTGTAGTACCCAGTTGACAAAGCCACCACTTTGGCATCTTGATAGTCTTTCATTTTAGCTATTTGAAATGCTGTCGGTCACTGCAGTTACTGATGCTTTTCCTTTTGTCTTACAGGTGAACTCATGACACCTTTGACTCTTCTACTGTCACAGACCTTAGGTAACAAACCTGCAACTGCTTTTTTAAAACAAACTGTTGATCAGCAAAAATAAAGGGGCTACAGAAACACTCATTTTTATGCTGTTCCCTTCGGGCTTCATGCAAAGAGAATTCTGTGTAAATGTACAGTTGACTCTGATTTGGAAATCTGAAGAATCAGTCCATTCTTGTTATAAAATTTTTTTACAATTGTAATTATATTGATGTTCATATTGTGTAAAATAACTCATTTAATAAAGTAGCGCTTTGATTTTACAACATCACAAGATAAACGGTTCTAGAAATTCTGTTCTCACTTCTTATTATTTGCCTTATTATAGAAGTGAATTGCTGAGCTAGAGTTGCAAGAGCAACCATCTCCCTTTCTCAGCGCAGTGGCAGGTTTGTTAGACTAGAGCAGACTCATTCAGTAAATTGTGCGCATGACTTATTGGCAGCCAATGCAGGTTAAAACGGAGCTGCTGCAGCCTGTGTGCAGTCATGTGTCATTCCCACTTCTGATCATTTCCTGTGCTTGACATTGAAGAATTCAAACTTGTTCAGTGGATGGGCTCTACTTGCCAGCTGGGAGTACATTGTAGGTATAACAGATACAATCCATAACATTGGTAGGATTGCCAGTGAGCCCTTCTGAAAGATTGGCTCCCAAAGCCTAAGCCGGAATGGAATGGGTTTTTGGACAAGGTATGATGGAACAAGTGTGACCTGTAAGGACCTGTGTCTTATAATGGGTATTTTGAAAATGGTTCCAATTCTTTAGTTTGGAAATGAACCATAATTTTCGAGAGAGATTTTAAAAGTTACTTAGTTAATTTTATGAATGGATTTTTGCATTTAACAGAAAGATTGGAATGATTTGTGCCAGGTTAATTCCCAGAATGTTCTTTGTCTTTTAAGGAAAACATACTTTTAGGAACTTAACGCTGGCTCCTAAAAATTAAAGACTGTCTAGTTTGACTTCCTGAATTAGCAAAATGTTACAATGGGCCAGTGTTCACATTTGTTCAGTTGGATAAGGCAAATTCTGCCTGTTAAGGAAGACTAGTCTGGTGTTCTAGTGTTCTTTTGTTGGCTGGAGTACACATAAATCTGCTGTTAATAATTTGGTTTAAGTTTAAAACTTGATGTAATCGGAAGTACATTGAGATAAATACTGACAGCTACTTAGAGCTGCATATTGACCTGTGGGTGACAGGTGACTCCCCTTTTGCTGCTGTAGCCATTGCATTCGGTGGCAGCGTGGTAAACTCTGACCACCTGTCCTGTGCCACTCAGTTTGGAGGACTATCTCGAGCAAGAGCCTCAGTGCCCTGTCCCCAGTGTCACTGAGTACAGTCCTGTTACTCTGTTTAATTTCCTGCTTTTCAGACTTGGTGCCCATTGTTTGCGAAAATGTTGCTGACTGAAATTAGATTTTACATGTTGATCTCACGGATGTGCTAATAAAATGACATTTCTAGAGCTTTTGGAAGTGCTTTACACAGATGGAAATTTCTTTGTATCAGACTGGCTATTCAGAGAATATTTCATTTGTCTCACTGTAATTAAGAATAAAACCTTTCGATCTTATATTTAACTGTTGTGTAAGCACTAAAGACACCATTTTTCAGTCTGTATTTCAGATAGGGAATAGTTGACGAATCTCCCGTCTTAGCACAGGGATTGCCAGCATGGTCCTCTTTCCTGTTTCAGCTAAATTTGCTGTAAGGAGAAGATGATAATTCAGACCTTTTTGTAATTTGGAGATTCTTTAACAGACAGATGTGTTTAAAAACTGATATGTTCTCTTTAAAGGTGATACAAACTAGCGAGAGGAAATTGATCTGTTTGTACTCTGTATTTATGTTAGTTGTCAAAAGGAATGGGGTTCGCATTAAACTTGTTTCCACACTCACCCCCATGTTTAGGTGACACACTTGGGACCTCACGTGTGCTGTAATTAATGTCTTATTAAAGAAGATGTTAACGAAAACGAAACTAGTCTAATTTCTTGTCCATTTTGAGAGGTTTTTACATCGCCTCTTCCCCTTCTCCCTTTCTGTTTTTAGAATTTTCTCTTAAGTATAGCCTGGTAATTCAGAGGATGGCAATTTAAGTTCTTTCATTTTTATTGTTTTCTCTCTATTTGACTATTTTGATTCCACAAAATACTTCCTAAGAATGAACAAAATGTCATTCCGAAGTCTTGCTGTATACAATATACAAGATACTAAAATACTAAACAACAAAAGATGCTTAGGCCAGTTCATAGGTCATGATGGCTCAGCCCTTATTGGTACCAAGACTTGAGATCAGACTTGGTTTTGGTTTGCCTTTTTTTTTTTTTTTTTTTTTTTTTTTTTTTTTCCTGTGTAGTCCCTTGAACTCACGAGATCCTCCTGCCTCTACCTTCCAAGTACTGGGATTAAAGGCATGCACCATCACTGCCCAGTGACTTTAGGATTTATATTACAAACATTTTATAGGTTTGATGGCATAATTCCAATTTGAGATGTAGTATGAGGTAATGGTAACCATTACTACAGTTTACTCTCCAAAGCCCCAACTTTTGTTTTTCAACATTATTTGCGCATGGAGTACACACTACCTGTTTTAAATCCTGGCTAGTGTAACATTGTTTCTTTTCTTTCCTTTTTGAGACGGGTTAGGGCCTCTCTGTGGAGCACAAGCTGGCCTTGAACTCAGATCTGCCTGCCTCTGCCTCCCTCGTGCTGGGACATGGCTTTTTCTATAGTGTATTGATCCTAAAATGTCATAACTGAATCTGAGTGAATTTGTCTGTGCCAGTTTTCTAGTTTGAATTTTTGTTGCTTGTTCAGTGTGTTGGCGGTGGTGAATCAACAGGCAAGGGTTATGTTTGATGTCACTGTACATAGTAAAATAGGCTAGCTTAATTTTACTGTGAACTTAGAAAGATGTGTGAATTTCAATGTATAGGTATAACAAAGTGCTTGACAAAATTCATTGTCATTAGTTACAGTGTACACTTTTTTAAAAGATTAGCTTAAGGCACTTCAGTGCTGTCTTGATTAGTTGAGATTCAGTTTTTACAGTTGTTCTTTACCTTTTAGTGCTATATATAGTGTAGATCCAGTTTGGAATGTTTCCTACAGAGGCAGACTTAAGTCACATGCTGTCTGACTGTATAATCTTCAGTGTTGATAACGTTAGTCATGTTCTTTAAAATCATCTCATACTTGAAGCATCGTTACAGATTTATTTCTGGCTTTGCTCTTTTGGGACACTGTCTCATACGGCTCAGCCTGTTCTCTGGCCCTCCTGCCTCCACCTTTTAAGTGTTTGGATTACAGGTATGCACCACCGTGCCTTGCTATACTTCAGCATTTCAGTGGCTTTCATTGTATGGACTCTGTAAGTACCTGCTTTACCACTGCTTTAGGTGGTCTGCGTGTTACCTGGAGGTCTGCAGAGGTCTTGTTTCTCTACCTGTTCAGTCACTTAGAAGCATCCGAATGGGTTCTCAAGCCAGTACTGTTACCTGCCTTGTTAAAATTATCTCAGCTTTGGCTGTCAGCAGCTTTCTGGTTGACTCCAGGGTCCCGCTAGGTGCCCCATCTTTTTGGTTTTTGAGAATTTTCTTGTTAAGACCATAATAAGCCCCACACTTATTCTGTATATTTCTTGAATGAGCATTTCCCCACTGGTTCCCTTGAGGGAATAATTAGAAATCTGGATCTGTATGCTGGGTGTTGTTTTTTGGAGGGAGGGTTTTTCTTTTAATTAAGAAACATTGAACACTTTTGGGAGGAAGAATCTCCTTATCTACTTTTGTGGGACAAGGTCTCTGGTTGAATGAATGTTCCTCATATACCTGCTGATGCCCCCACCCCACCCTCTCTGAGGGGAGACAGAACCCAGGGCCTACACAGGCCAGGCAAATCCTGAGCTGCTTCTCCAGCTACAAACTTAAATTGCTGATGTGCTTAGAGTGCATTGCTCAGATTTCTGTGAGCTATAAAGCATTGCACGAGAGCAACGGTGTGTAAAGAAGTGTACAGTACAAAGCCTCTGTTCTTGACAAATTGCAATGCATTCTAGGGAAAGTACATACTCTATTTATATAATTTTAAGATAGTTAGTGCTTACTTAGAGTGTTCTGCGTATCTTTTCTGGGAGACAGGAGAGGGTTGTAAGGTCAGTCATGGCTATAGGGATGGGAGTTGGCTAGGCTGTGGAGAGGGATAAGAGCAAATAGGGAAGGCAGCAAGATGGAGTGTCTGGGTGAGCAAGAACATGCTGTATTCCTGAAGAGTGATGGGGAATGTCCTTCTGCAATATAATTAGTTGAATAATTGGCCAGTAGCCAGGCAGGAAATACAGGCAGGACTACCAGATGAGAATTTTGGGGAGAGGAAGGCAGAGAGAGGTGTCAGAGGGAGAGGCCATGTAGCTACAGGGAAGACAGGCTGCACTGTGTATTCTTTGGTAAGATAAGGCCATGTAAAAATACATAGGTTAATAGTTTGAGATTAATAATTAAGAAAACCAGCCAATTTCTAATTAATATAAGCCTGTGTATGTTTATTTGGGGCTAAGAGCAGTGGGACCAGACAGTACAAACAACCATCTACAGAAGAGTGTGGGACTAGGTTTATGAATGAGAGCCTTGGAGCCCACAGGTGAGAGCGAGGAGCACAGCCCTTGAACAGGACCAGTTTGTGCAGTGTGTGTACTATGCTATTTGACAATGGGAATGTCATGGAAAATTGTTAGTGGTGAAATACTATTTGTATACCTTGCTGTGCCCTATCTGTTACAGGCTAATTTGTTCATAATTTATTTTTAAGGGAATTATGATTGTAAATTAATAAGAGTTTTCTGAACAGTGGTGGTATACCTCTTCAATCTCAGTACTTGAGAGGCACAGGCAGGTGGATCTCTGAGTTTGAGGACAGCCAGGGCTACACAAAGAAACCTTGTCTTGAAAAACTAACCAAGCCGGGCAGTGGTGGTACACACCTTTAATCCCAGCACTCTGGAGGCAACGGCAGGCAGATCTCTATGAGTTCAAGGCCAGCCTTGTCTACAGAGTGAGTGGACAGCCATGACTGTTTCACAGAGAAACCCTATCTCGAAAACCAACTGGGGAGGGGGTGGGGTTTTTGCTTTGTTCTGGTACAATGATGCTGCTGGTGTCCTGAGGGCTTGTTGTGTCCCTCTGTACCAAGAGACTCCAGATGTGTTGAATCTTTTAATACTTGATTAAAAGGTAATACGTTTGGAAAACACTTTCATGTATGTAGATTTTGGAGAATATGGTAAAACTGAATTTTTAAAGCAGTGTAAAAACCAGTCAGTAGTGTCCTTCACACTTGTGCATACATGTGCATATTTTATATGTTAACGAATACGTGTTGTCATGGAACTTTGCTGTTTAACATAGCAAATGAGTTTGCTTCACACTATACCTTGGCATAGTGTGGTTATATGGTTGGTGATCCACTTAGATTTGTTGTGTTTCTTTCTGGTAGATTTTCAGGTTTTAACTTGTGCATACGGCTTTATTTCCACATTTAGAATTGCATCTCATGAAATTGAGAGCTCTTGCTGGGAAGCAGGTATGGGACAGGCAGGCTTTCGGGACAGTGCACTGTGTGGAGATGTGTGGCCTTTGAGTACTTTGAATGCTGGCTCCTTTTTTATACACCAAGCTGTTTAAATGTTCTTTGGTGGAACATTTTATTTTATCTGCTCCTCAGGTACAGTTTATCTCCGTTTCTAAGTGTGCTTGATGTGCTGTCCACAGCACACTGGAAAGAGCTGAAGCTGCCGGGAAGCATCAGATAATGACGGTTGTGTTTCCCCATAACCTGCACAAGCGATGCTGGCAGCAGTGCTTGCTGGGAGAATGTTTGTGGACTCCCTCCATTATTTTAGGCAGTATTTTATTCTTTCTGACCTCCAATGTGCCAGATCTTACCAGTCAGGTGCCTGGAGTGTAAGTTTAGTATTTACATGTATTTTATTTAGAATTGGTATTGATGCCTTCCCGCTGAAATAGTAAGAAAATAGTCATTCCTGTTCCTAGGTCTTTATTTCGTGTGTGTGTGTGTGTGTGTGTGTGTGTGTGTGTGTGTGTGTGTGTGTGTGTGTGATTCTCACAGTAAATAGGCTCTACACTTTGGGTTGAATATCGAGTCATCACTTTTGAAGATGGGGAAACTGACATCTATGTCATCTCTGAACAAATAGAGGAAACACGTGAACACATGTAGCCGTTCTGGCTCTGTAACTCCAGCTTCCTGCTGCCCATCTGCTGAAGCTAGTACATGGTGTGCATTCACACACGCCCTGTCCATCCCTGCGTGTGCATCTTAGGATTGCTTCTCCCCCATCCAGCCCCTGCTCTTCTGGTGGAAATGCACCTGCTCCTTAAGGCTCCCTCTTTAAAAAGTAGAGTTAGGGGACAGGGGCACAGCAAACTAGAAGGTGCACCAAAA